TTGTATAACTGTGTAATTGTAGTACTCTTTGTTACTTAACCCTCCTGTTATGTTGCGGGTCAGATTGACCCAGAACAGAAGAGATGTCTCATGTCATCTGCATCACTACAGAAAACGAAAAAAAAAATCAAAATTATAAAAGAAAATTGTAAAATAATCAATGCTAGTGTTTCTGACACTTTTTGATGAGTAAATTTGCCCCGGGTCAAATTAACCCAGGAGCATAATTGGTGTTCCTGGAAACCAACTTAACAGGAGGGTTAAGCTAAGCTTGATTGACTGCTTAGTTTCCAGAAAACCAAGCACAAAAAGAAAAAGTAAAATATAAGATACAGACTTAATTGGTGACTACATGTCGGTCTGCTACAGTTGTGGTCAGAGGTTTATATACACTCATCAATGACGTGAACGTTGTGGTGATTTTTTTGGCTTTTAATTGACTTTTCCAGGGTTTAATGATTGCACAGCATATATCTTTATTCACTTTAAATAGCAAGTATTGGGTGCATAAGTTTGAATTTCTTTTGAATTTTCTTTAATCCACACAAGGTCAAAAGTATACATTAAAGGCTCAAATATATACATACAGTTACTTTAATCTTTCAGCAGGTTATCCTGAAGATTTTACATTGTCTTTTTACTTGACTTGGCCAATACAAGGTCCCTTCACCGTCAGAAAAAGGATTTGTTTAACAGTACTCATTAGATTGAGCAATACTCTAAAGAAGAGCTTATAGATATCAACCCAGACATGTTTGCCTGTAAACACTCTTTGATCATTTTGTATTTCATTTATGTTTTGTCTTTGTTTTTTTATTTTACTCCCTACCAGAGTTGCAGTCTAAGCACTCTACAGGCTCGGTTAAAAGTCGCAGCTCACCAGGCAGAGGAGGAGTCTGAGGAGACGGCTGAAAACTTCCTGGAAGGACGCATTGACATTGACGAATTCCTGAACAGCTTCATGGAAAAAAGAACAGTGAGATGCTAACAACAGCAAGAACGACAAAAAAACATTTATACCTAGAATTGGCCAGGAGTCATTTTTATGCTGTTTTTTAATTCATGTTTCATTCATGTTTTGTTATATGAGTCAGAGTTAGCTGGGTTTGATTGAACGATAAAAAATCATTTTTTTGAGTTTTGAATGGGATGCAAACAGGGTGTTAAACCTGTAAGGAACTGGAGAGAGGCTGATGACGGTCATGATAATGACCAATCTATCATGCAAAGCCTACCCGCTGTGTTGACCCCTTGTGGCAAGGGAAAGCTGAAAGTAGCTTCTTTTATTTGTTATCATTGGAGAAAGTAATTAAAAAAACTTATTCAAGAAGTGAAATCTTTGCTTTTGTTGATACTGTTGCATCAGTGGGTAAAAATGATGCCGCGTGGCTGTTCTAGGGTTACGTGTTGGCTTTTTTTAACCTTTTAAAAACTGAACCATGAAATAATTGACAGAGATTTTTAATTGTTTAAAAATAGAGGTTTTATTGAACCTCCTGACACTTTTTAAAAAATTATAGTTTTAATTTGTGCCATATTTACTGCATTTGGCTCTATTGTAATTTATTGTAAATTATTGTTAGGTGTGAATGTTATAGGAAGTACTGCACTTAACATTTTAAGGGGAAACTTCAGATGACTTTGGTTTTGTTTTCCAGCTTTGCCACAGCAGAAGAGCCAAAGAAGAGAAGCTGCAACAGTCCATCAACACACATGGCCCGTTTCCTACCAGTCACTAGATCACAAGGTAGAAGAATCACAGCACAGCACACATTACTTAGTCGCATTGCAGTCACATGTCTGCTTTTACAATGACTGTAATAACCTTTCCTCTTTTTTTTTGGAAAGGGAAAAAAAAGGAAATTGTATTTTTTATTCTCATTTATTCATTCTGCTTCTCTCACCATTTCTTTGGTCCTCAGATTCAGTGTTTCTCAGCCAACTGCTGCCAAGTAAAAGGAAAAAGGTATTACAGGGGCCGAAAAGCACACTGGGCACTCATCAGTTTGGAGAAACATGAAGATTTTGATTGCAATGCTGGGCTAAAACAAGAAGCCTATGGTGTCCTGATCCAAGCTTAAAAAACAACAAACAACACAACAAAACAAAGCAAAACACAAAAAAGCAGTTAAAGTTGGATCTTGTGAGAGTAACGTTGAGTCACCACAGAAGGCCAAACCTTGGAGGATGAGTGGCACATGCCTAGATGCTCCAGACACATTACTATGGATTCATCACATTGTGGATAATTTTATTGCACTTTTTTTTCCAGTTTTGACATGGCAGTGATTACAACAAGCTTTGTTTTCTCTTTAGATTTATGTCACGTTGCTCATAAAATCTTGCCTGTTCTTAATCAGGAAGGTTGGAGATGTGAAGAAATTTGGAAGAAAGTACAAGTTGTGTAGTACAGTGCCCCTAATCTTCCATTTTCTTTGCTGTGGGCTAGTTAGTATCACTTAAAAAGTTATTCTGAAATATTGGTGTCTGTACCATACATCTCTGAGATCAGTCCTTGCTTAATCATCCCATTACACTTTACGGAGATGTTGTGCAGCCAGTGCACTTTCAGCGATAATTTGTCCAAGACAGCCATGACTGTCAGTGAGTAAAACAAAGAAAAGAAGCAAGGACTCAACAGTTCGGTCAGGAGACATTTAATTGGGCTGTTAAAATGTAAACTGTGTTTTCAAAGTGGAAAGTGGTTGATTGTTAATCAAGCTGTCAGTTTGAGGAAATCCTAAACACAGCCTGAATATCATTACATAAACATTCATAGTTAAGGTTTCAGATTTTCTATCAGTACTCTGATAATCCCTCAATTTATGTACTGTAAGTTGTAATACATTTGTTTCCAATTCAAAGTTAACGTGAACCAAGCAGACCACATAACATACTGTAAGAGCTGTTTCAGTTGTTAGTTCCTGTATTGTAATTCTGCTTATTGAGGGTCACGTGTTGAAACCAATGCTAACACGATTAGCATTTGTGGTTCTTGTTTTTAGCACTGAAAGCAAATATTTTTCCACTCAGAGGGCAGGTTAAACTACATTAACTCAAATCTGAATACTTCAGTCCCTCTTTTGCTTTTTACATTGATTTAAAAAAAAAATTCTTGATGTAAACATACTGACCACCACTTTTTCCTTATATGCACAGTTATGATCGCCTGAGAAACTGTTTTCTGACACCTGAAACCTCAAACTTGAAATTTCTGCTGAAAAGCCTCAGAAGATGTGGGATAATGTTGAGGAATATTAGTTTAAATGCTGCAGTAAAACTCAATGACATTGGATACTGTATTTAAATAATGTTAATAATAGGCTATATTGTAATCAAACACTCGAGACACCTTGTATTATATGTTCTTATTTAATTTGTTAGAGTAATAAAGCATTTAGAATAAATTCTGTGATCACATTCTTTTTAACATGCCAGCATTGCCTGAAAGCCAGAGGTTCTCAGGGTATCCTTGGGCTGCATGATGTCAATAAGGTGCCTGACCATGATGTGGAATTTGTTCAATGAACATACAGAGAAATCCCCAACAATCAAATTATCACTAAGTGAACAGCCTCTTGGCAATACTGGGAAGGAAAAACTTGTTATGAACAGGAAGACACCTTTAGCAGAACCAGGCTCAGGAAGAGGCAGCTATCTGTCGTGACGAGTTGCGGGTGATGGGAGGAAGACGGGACAAAAAAACACACTCTGGAAGAGAGCCAAGTAATAATAAATAATGATTAAATCCAGAGTGGTGTGTAAGCTCAGAGAGTGAAGGGTGAGTGAAGAAGAAACACTCAGTGCTCTGTAGGAAGCCCTCAGCAGCCTAATCCTATGGTGGTGTGACTAAAGAAGGATTCAGGGTAACCTGAGCCAGCCTTGTATAACTCTATACTTTATAAAATTCAATTTACACTAAAGATTATACGGTGTAATTTTTTCATGGCATTAAAATAAAGCACAACACTGCTACCGTATATATTGTGGTGACGTGCAGTACTGTACACGCAAAACATTAACGCTCAGTACCAATATGCACTTTCACCATTAGAAAATTTGCTTACATTATTATCTGTATGAAACGAGACACAGTTTTTCTTTTTATTCATTCTTTTATATAACATGAATCTTTTTGTTGCTTTGTTTGGTATCACTGGCCTGTGGGTTGCTTTTGCCTGCTGTGGACATCATCTTCATCAGTAAACAGATTACCACCACAGACTCTGTTCTCTCTGCAGTTTCCATGGCACCCAAGTGCATACGTCAAAGATGCAATTTCTCTGTCGACATGGCAACCTGGTAACGTTAAAACACGTCGATTAGATTAAAAAAATGAATGAAAGAAAAGGGAGAGACTAGGAAAGAGGTGCCAGTCAGAGGAGGTAAGTCTGAGCTAAAACACTAATAGTCTGCTTTTTATTTAGCTGTTACTTTATTTAGCAGTAGCTCCTGCTTTTCAATGAATGTGGTTTGTCTCTGTATTAATTATTTTGTGTATCTGGCTTTTCTTATGTGTATGTACCATATACTAAATCTATTCATTAAGAATTTTATGTGGAGCTGCCACTTTTATAATATTTCAAACTTAGAGGTTTTTAACATTTAACATGTTATGTATTGCTATTGTAAAAGTAAAGGGAATAATTTTAGTAATGTTAATTTGGTCACTGATATTGTGACAGCTCTAAAAAACAGGTCTGCAGGCTTGAATGAACAGAGGTGGCAGGGATGGCGTCCCGCAGTAGTTCCTCCACAGCAGCAGGTGGCAGTGATTCACCACAAAAACCTACAAAGACGAAGAGAACCCGGAGGAAAAGACGGAAGGCGCGAGCGGTAGGGGGTGAGTAGGTAAACATGTTTAAATGAAACTGGAAAGAATTACTTTTTTTTTTTTTTAAACATTAGAGCAACTGCAGAACTGGACAAGCAAATAACCGGGTCCATTAGCAATAACCGTTGATTGACAAAAGACAGCAGATAGTTAAGTTAAAGTTGGCAAAAATGTCTGGCTGTAACGTTACCTAGCGTAACCTTTCTAAAAAGATTCAGTCATAGTTACAATATTTATATAGTTGATGCTAAAAGCTAGCATCAGTAGTTTTAGCGTAAGTTAGCCGTTCGGCAAAGACGAGGAAACTTTCAGAAATGATGCTATTGTTGAGTTTGCAGGAGGGAATAGTTGTAGCATTTTAACTTAAAGAACATCTGCTAACAGTCCTCAGAGAAAGTGCTTATTTCACTTTTTATACACTTTATAACAGAAATACGAAAGTACCGTGAATTTGGTTTGAATAACAATTTGGCAGAACGTCGGATCGGACGCTGGTCTTATTTAGTTTGCTATGTTTTGTTGTTGTTTGTTTGTTTTTATAGATGTCTACATGTGCCTTTTAGATGTTTTATAACTTCTTTTTGTGTCAGTGAAATAGTAAGTGTCACTTTTTCATCACATTCTTATTTATCTATTTGTTTATTATTTACGTTTAGCCAGCACAAAAGTGTTGTGGGATGATCATCTTTTTTGTCTGATTTACAGATATTTAACTATATATATAAAGACCACCTGTCTGTACCCACAGACATGTCACGACAGATGGGAGAAAGCCATCGAAGGTTTCTTCAGACCATGATGGTCAGTGGAGTAATCGATGAGCAAGCTGCAAAGGCTCTTTATCAATACTGCTGTGAAACGCACCACAGTAAGTAAATTCCTATACATGTGAACAACAATTGAATGAAAATTCAAAATGCACCTCATAGTGTATCTGGAGACTAGTGTAAAGTAGGGCAACAAAAAGTAGTATCACCCCCTTATTAATTATTAATAAATAATTTCTTATTTTCTTACACTAAGAGACTGTTACTATTGATTTACTGTTACACAAAAAAGCAACCTCATTACACTTGAAGGCAGTGTTACAAGACGCCTTGTACCAAAATTAGCTACTAACTAATTTCTGTCTGCAGACCCTGTGCAGCTATATAAATTATTAAATAAGTTGTAAAATACAAATTTTGGGATAGAAGTACAATAAGATGATGGTATATATGTTCCAATTAAAATCCTTCAGCCCAACCCTCCCCAAACATATAGACATTATAAAATATTTTTGTGTGTGTATGCACTAGGGCTGTGCCATTTCATATTGTCCATTGTCCATTATATCATCAGAAATATTGTCACAACTTCCCTTTAAATACTGTGATACAATTTTGAGATTATATCACCAACCTTTAATGTGCACATTATGACACCAGAACCACAATGTGTCTTGTTTTGTTTTGTTTTTGTAGGAGACTAACAAACATTGTTGTTTTTGTTTTTTTTCTGCAGCACAGTATGCACCCGACAAGCTGGAAGATTTTATTGATACTATCAACTCAAGACTGCAGCCAATGTTCATGCAGATTAGGAAAGGGATGTCTGAAAATAACGGTCTGCAGTACTATGCCTTGGTTAGTGATTTAATGCTTGTATTGGGTCTGCCTTGTCGGGCTGTTGTTTAGTATGTGTCCAAGCTGCAAAGACTTTACATGTTTAAGGATCATATTAAAGGAAATACATTATTAATTAAAGTTTAACTTTAATCCCATCCAGGTGAACATGGCTGAAACTGACATCACCAGGATGTCGTCAGATTATGCCGACAATGAACTTGAGCTCTTCAGGAAAACAGTGAGTTAAATTCACAGCAAAACAACATGTTATAGATGCCTCCACTATAAATTTTGGTATTTGTTGGGGTGGGGTTTTAAGTCTCTGGTGGTATATTGATGTAAAACCCTGAAACAACATAACTTGTAGGGGTGGGGGAAAAAATCGATACTGTGTAGTATCGTGATATTTTGTTTGCTAATAATGTATCGATACAGGGACAGCAGAAATCGATATTTTGTTACAAAAAAAGTTTTTGTGGACTGGAACATGCTCTGGCTTCAGAGCATGTTGATCCTTTTTCTGAGCAAGAATCCTGACATTCCTTCACTGTCCAAATGTGTTTAACTTTTTTTTGGCAGCAATAAACATAACAGTTTACTTATTTTAATTTAAGACATGTTTTATTTTAATTAAGTTTAAAACTTTTTTATTTAATGTAAAATTATATTTTGTTTTAATTTACTTTCAAATTCTTCAGTTGCTGAAGGGGCTGCATAGTTTTCATAAATTGCATAGTTCAGAATAGCTATAATTGTACCAGATGGTTGCATTCAGTTAAGTTGGACTAGACTGTAATACAAATCGTTCAGTTTGTCAACAATAAAACTGACTGAAATGAGAGAAAGACTGAGTGTGAGACTTTGATATTAGATAAAATGAATATTGATAAAAATTTACCTTTATGTACAGAATCTGAATATCGCAAAATATTTAAAAAAAATTGCAATAATATCGAATCGTGCATTAAGTATTGTGATAATATCGTATCGTGGGATGTGTGGTGATTCCCACCTCTAATAACTTGTAGGTTGCAGTTCAGTGTAACAGTCTAATCAGTGACATTATCCATAAACAGTGGTCAACATTATTTTTTTGTTCAAAAGATCATGTAGGAAGTCATGAATAGATTACTGCACACAGATTTGTGTGACTGTGGCTCTTGAGGTAGAACATCAACCATTTAGAAGACTGGGGTTGTGATTCCTGTCCATATGTTAGTTTCCTTGGACAAGAGTATTGAACCCCAAATTCTGGTGTGTGTTAAATTGGCAGTCGTTAACCCTGTAAAGCCCAAACCATGAAAATTCAAAATTTTGGAAAATGGAGTGTTGAGAAAGAAGTTTAAAGAAGTTTTGTATCATATTTGCTACATCAGGAATTCCTAAACATATCATGTTAAAGACACAGAAGAAATGGTATGAATGTGTGTGAATGGGTGAATGTGGCTTGTAGTAAAACTAATGTTATGATCAACTTGAATTGTGTTCATTCAGTTGGACCTCATCGTGTGCTCTGAGAATGGCAAGGCTTCCTCTACTGATATTCTGAACAGCACAGACTCCATGACCACCAGAAAGATGAAGAAGAGCGAAACGGAGCACCTGTTGAGCCGATTAGTGCACGACAAATGGCTCAGTGAGGTAAAATACACCGTCTCTAGTAGGATTTCACAATTCTGATTATTTATTTCCCACAAACTACTTCCTCTTTTTTGTGAACGGATTATTAAAATGATTTCAGTTCAAGTTCAAGGTTCTTTATTTGTCACATGCATAGTTATACAAGTATAACACACAGTGAAATGTAGCCTGACACACTCCTCGACATGTGCAAAAATTGGGGGGGGGGGGGGGGGGTAGAGGAAGAACATTATATATATATATATACAGACATATAGTATATACACTGGGTGAATGTGCAGTAGTAGCAGCAAGCAGGTGAATTCTGTACATTAATATGAATAGACATCTGACTATTTTACAGGATAGACAATATAAACATATTTAAAATTAAAGGAATTGAAATGTACATTGTGCCTTGGTTTAGAGTGTCTGGAAGAGAGTCCTGTCTCAGTCAATTATAGATGATGTGAGAGGGCGGGTGTGTGTGTTTAGGGCACGGATGGCTTGGGGATAGAAGCTCCTCTTGAGTCTCTCTGTCCTTGCCCGGAAGATGCGGAACCTTCTACCAGATTGCAGAAGTTGGAACAGTTTGTTGCCAGGATGGGACGGGTCCTTCAGTATCTGCGCTGCTCTAGTCCGGCATCTCCTGGTGTAGGTGTCCTGAAGCGGGGGGAGAGCAATCCTGCAGCTGCATTCTGCTGTACGGATCACTCTCTGGAGAGCTTTTTGGTCCTTCACACAGCTGTTCCCGAACCACGATGTCATGTTCTGTGTGAGGATGCTCTCCACAGCGCCTGTATAGAAAATCCTGAGGATCTTTGGAGAGACCCTGAACTTCCTCAGTTGTCGTAGGTGATACAGGCGCTGCCTAGCCTTTTTGGTCTGGACCTGAATGTGGGCAGCCCATGTCAGGTCTGAGGAGATGTGGACACCAAGATACTTGAAGTACTTCTTCAAGTACTTGCCTTCCTATTAACCATATTTAAAATGGGAATGCAGCAGGAGGAGGTCATACAGCTTATTAAGGTCAAATATAATTACTCCATTTATGTTTATCATTCCCATACTGCTTCCTTTATTAATAAGGCGTAAAATGTCATTAATTATGGTTTATTATTATAGGCTTTATTATACAAATAAAATAACGTTTATTTAGACAATCCTTCTCATTTACAGCTTACAAAACAAGATTTCTTTGTTTCAATGATAACAAAAATATAATAATAATAATAACATTTTGGGTATGTGTTTCAGTATGCTAGTATCATTTTAACTTGCGTGCTATTTGTTACCCTAGAAACGGGGCGAATACACCTTGTCCACCCGGTGTATCATAGAGATGGAGCCTTATATTCGCACAATGTATCAAGACCATATCAAAGTGTGCCACATCTGTCGTAACATCGCTTTCCAGGTAAATGTTTCCCTTTTTACACTTAGTAATATCACCCTCGTACCCGCTTGAATTTAGGCACTGATGATCACTGTAAACTGTAAACATTAGGTTGGTGTGGTTATATTACCTCAACTTTAAAAATATAAATTTTTATTTTTAAAACGAACAATGAAGATGACTAGCATGCATATACAATTTATAATTTATATTACAATTACTACAAATTATTGTTTATATTATATTCATTTGCTGTTGAGAAAATTGATCTTGAGAGAGAATTGAAGTAAATATCATCTGTAATGTTGACCGCCTACCGTATTGGACACAACTGCTTGATAAAGCATATCTAATCAGCCATCCAAATTGCAGAAACTCATATAAACGTGCTGAAATCCCAAGTGTCAGCTGGAGAAGGACGGGGACTGAGGTCTCTTTAAATGTGGCATTGTTTATTTGAATATTTCAGAAATGGTTTTCACATAAAACATTTTTTAGAGTTTATAGAGAATGCTCAGGGAAAGAAGAAAGCCATCGTGTGAGTGCTAACTAATTGACGTTGTCTTGTTGATGCTCAAAGAGCTCAAAGAATAATGTCAGAATGGTTCTAGCTGATAGAAACAGTAATACAATCACCCAGTAATTATAACCACGTTATAGATATGAGCATCTCTGACTGCAAAACATGTAGGATAGGTTGGCCACAGCAGCAGAAAACCAGTGTACTCCAGAACCATGTAAGATTGGAAAAACATTGTCTGGTCTGATGAGTTTCAGATGATTGGAACATAATTTGAGATTAAAAGCATAAAAGCATGGCTCCACCCTGCCTTGTTGGTGGTAGGCACATGACTGATGTAATGGAGTACACTTTAGGCCTCTTAGTGTAATCTGAGCACCACTTAAACACCACAGCCTGTTGACTCATGTTGTATTCCTGTATTCCTCCTTTAATGGCAAGTGTTTTAATCGGCTAATGGGCATTTTTGACTGAATAACACACCACAAAGAGCATAAGACCAGTTTCTTTACTGTGCTAATGAGTTCACAGTATTTAAGTGGCCTCTACCACACCAGAACCAGTGGAAATAGAGACTAGCATAATGAAGATGCAGCCCACATAAGTGAATCATCTGGGGCCAGTATGGACCAAAATCTTTGAGGAATGTTTTTAATTGAGAAACATTTAAGATAAAGGATAGTCCAACCTGATATGTGTTAAATGTATCCAAAAAATGACCAGTTACTGTAATGTGTCATCAGCATTATTTGTTTGCTTACAGTATTTGATCTGAATTATTATTTTTTTGTCTCTCTTGTTTTTTCAGTGCCAAATCTGTGAGAATCCTACATGTGGCATAAAAATACACAACCCATGTGTGGCCAGATACTTCAAAGGCAAATCGGAGCCACGTTGTCCTTCTTGTGATGACTTCTGGCCACATGAAATCCCTGGTATATGTTGTTTATTCTCAAATGCTGTTTCTGGACACATTAGACCTCCAGTAGTTAGAGACTCCCAAACTTTGGTGCACATTTGATCGGCTTCAACTGGAACTGTGAATGATAAAAATAGAAATGAGTGTGTGGCGTGAATAAGGCACAGCGGGACCACGGAGTATCATTCGGAGCCATCTTTATTTACATCTCACCACAACACCCCCAAACCCCTGAGTCCCCGTGTTTTTAACTAGGCGGGCATGATTAAGGATGCCGTGCAGGTGCGTCCGCCCTCCCTGCACGGCTGCTGAGGTGCCTCACGTGGCTCCTCCACCGCTTCACTGTCCTCGGGACACACCTGTGGGGGTGGCGCCCAGGCCCAGAGCAGTGCCGCCAGCTCCCCAATCCTTTCCCGGTGGCGCTCGGACTGGTCCTGCAGCTCTTCCTGCTGGCGACGCACCTCCGCCGCCTGCTCCCGCTGGGCGGCCGCCATTTCGGCCACCCTCTGGGCCAGCTCCTCCATTCCCTAGCTCCGATACGGACCCGCCGTGCTGCCTCCTGGGTTTTGGCACCAATGTGGCGTAAATAAGGCACGGCGGGACCACGGAGTATCATTCGGAGCCATCTTTATTTACATCTCACCACAACACCCCCAAACCCCTGAGTCCCTATGTTTTTAACTAGGCGGGCGTGATTAAGGATGCCGTGCAGGTGTGTCTGGCCTCCCTGCACGGCACCGCAGACCACGCCCCACCACAGAGTGCAAAAAAGATGTGTGATTGCCGTTTTATAATTCATTTAAACATATATTCAAATGGAAGGTGAATAGAACAACATAACAAACTCATGTTCTTTGTTCTTTTTATTACAGAAGTGAAACGTCCTCATTCACAATCCAGGAGATGAAGGCTTCATCAATAGTCTTTCTTAATGGTTTATTAATATAATATAAATGTCTTTATTGTTTTTGCTTTTATACATACAAAATAAAAGATTGTTTCAATACTGTAGTATTTGTATTGCATTTTACAAATATCTACCCCCGCCCCTCAAACAAAACAAGTTTCTCATTGTGAACATTTTTTTTCTGTCTAGATATATATTCACATTTTCTGTTCCACTAGAAGATAAGTTAAGAGAATAATGTCATTCTAAGACATAAAAGATTTTACAGTAATAGCCCATTTTAACTAACATGTGATGGAGATTTGAAAATTAGTTTTGCTGTACAACATACACGAGTATCTGATTTGCTGAAGATAATGACATAAATCCATCTTAAAATGTGTCTCACTGTGTTCACAATAAGAAAGTTTTCACTGATCAGTGGCTGCTCAGTGGTTGAGAGGAAATTAAGGCGATGTCTTTCTTTCAAACCTTTATCAACTTTCCTAAACCCCCTTTTTAAGTCTGTAGCATACAAACTGTTAAACTGAAAGATGTAAGAAACAACAATAACCATTGTTACTTTATCTTGTCCCCAACAAATTACATAATACATTTCAGTAATGATTTTTAATTTAAATGTTTCATCACGATCTTGTGTGTTTTTTAAGTGCTCCTTTAAATTTTGGGGCAGTGAACAATATGGCAAGAAATATAAAAAATACACAAAGAAATGAAGCAGCAATTTGAAAGTTAAAAAGGGAAGCTCAATGAATAAAAATAATGTAATAAGGAGCACAGTACTTAAAAATCTAAACAGAATAAATACAAGTCCTGTAGTAAAAAGCCTGAAAGATTCTGAGTCATTATAATTATTATTGTTGATTTCATGCAGTAAGGAGGGTAAATCTTTTTTGCCATTATGCATTGATACATGACTTATATGTTCCAGTTCTGACAGGATACAATACTTGTTAGAGACAGTGGGTCATATGAAATAAGACTTTGTGACAGATGTTCTTTGATTCATTGAATAAGTCTATAATTAAAAACCATTATGCTACTGCCACATATAATAATCAGCAGTTTCATTCTCTCATACAGACTGATTTGGTTCAGGATAAATTTGCTATTTTAAAGTATATTTGCCTGAGAGGAGCCCTTCTCTAGTATCTTCAGGGAGACAATGAACCAGATAGCTTTTCTAAACCACGGGTAGAAAAAAGCATATATCAGTGGATTCAGACAAGAATTGAAGTACAGCATCCAGGAAACAATAGCCCAAGATGAAGCACTGTTTGAAATGTCCTGCCCTGCAAGAGAGGGATAGTAATACGGACAGAAACTCATCAAAAACACAAATATCACAACGCCAAGAGTCCTGGCTGCCTTTTTCTCTGATTTCTTTGCGGTGATTTTTACTGTACCAGCTGCAGCAGCTGTAATATGAGACCGCATGGCATGAGCCTGAGACACCGCTACAACAAATACTCTCATGTACAGAATGATAATGACTGAGCAAGGGCCGATGAAAGTAAAGACAAGGTCGATTGCTCCAGAGACATAGTTAATCACCACCAAACACTGACCGTGACAGGTGTTATGCCTGTTTGGCTGCCTGAGATGCTCCTTTAAGATCATCCCGTTGTAGAGGAGCGAACAGGCCCAGCACAGAGTCACAGACAGCTCCACTCTGCTGTGAGTTATTTTAGTGGGGTACTGCAGAGGATAACAAATAGCTACGTAGCGATCAATTGATATGAGCACCATGTTGCCCACAGAGGCTGAGGTGAGAGTGAAACCGATAATGTAAGTAAAAGCACACATGAGATCTCCCAGCAGCCAGCAGGTTTCTATAAACCGCATTGCTTCCACCGGCATCACAAGCAGCCCGACCAAGAGGTCTGAGATGGCCAGAGAGAGCAGGAGGACATTGGTGGGCATGTGGAGCTGCCTGAAATGAGAGATGGATATGATAACCAGCACATTCAGAGCTACAGTTAGCACAGAGATAGACAAGAACAGTGTATAGAGGAGGACAGCCTCAGGCTGAGGACGTGTTAAGCCCCTGCAAGACAGATTCGCAAGCTCAGGGTAGCAGAGTTCAATTCTGTCCTGCCTGTCCATCATCCAGTATAAAGAAAGGAGGACCTGCTGAGTTCAAGCAACCTGCTGACCCTGTGAGACATTGTACAGCTTATTTATCTCTGATGACACTCCCCCCTTCCAACTCCAGAGTCAACCTTTTCATCACTGTCTGCTAAGTAGTCCCCTGCCCCCCCCCCCCCCCCCCGATTCTCTCCTACTGTTCTCTTCCCCCTCTCTCTTCTTCCTCCTCATCTATACTCCTCTCTTGTTTTTTCCAGCTTGCTCCTTTCTTCTCTCTCCCCCCTTTCATCACCCATTTGTATGATGCAAGATTCAAGTTTCTAAGTTCTGTGAAGTAGTTTCAAAGCAGATTAAAGTGTAAAGCCAAAGCATTCATAAGTCAGCAGTCCCATCCTTCACTGCTGACAGATGTGTCTGTTTTGACAGTGTTTGACGTTGTGAGACTTGAGCTCCTGTTTAAGATGCATTTGACATTTTTTCCAAGTATTTCAGATTAATCAAAAAGCAAGCATCATCTTTAAATAGAAAGTCATTACTTTGTTACTTAATTTTTCCATACTACAAAAGGACATCCTCGTGTGCAGACATTGGGTTATTATTTACAGCTTAACACAATAAAGGCAACATTATTTAATACATTTAAAACATTTTTATGATATATATCCCATGTGAGGAATCAGTGTTTCAGGGGGATAACTAGAAATAAAAATAAATCTAATAATCAAACAACTAGATTCATCCCTCCATGAATTTCATAGGTTTTTTTCCCCAAGTCACTCAAATCATTTACTGATTCAAGTATCTATTTCTAGGTTAGCAGTGTGAGCATATTGGCAACACTGACCTTGGTTACGTGTTTGTACGACAGGTTATATTTCCTTGAGTTGAATTTCTTCCACTAAAGTGGTTTTTAGATTAAAGTCAAATGTCTTTGATCTAGTCATTAGAGCCTTGTAAATTTGCTGTTTATTTATTATTGGGAAAGAAGATATTTCTTAGCGTGTCAGAAGATCACTATATGAAATTTTGTCTGCAGCAAACTTTTCAGAGGATGCCGGTAGGTCAAATACTTTCAACAGTCATTATGGGAAAAAGTGGTGGAGATGAATCCAAGTTTAAGGTTTGTGGCATTAGATCAGTGTTATGGAAGATGATGAAGGGTAGAGGTTAATAATAGAGCAGTTAAACTTGGAGGTGTGAATTTTAAGGTCTGCGGCTGTTTTGATACCAATCAGCTAAATAAGAAGGAGCTCTCCTTCTTCAATTGGAAACTTTGCAGAAACAGAATCACGCAGCAACAGCAAATGAGCACAAACAAACCTCAAAGTTACACAAGAACTACATGAAGAGCAAAGATGTCTAAATGCTGACTTTTGTGGGCTTTTCCTTGCAGCACCTGACCTTAGCTACACTGAACAGTTATGGGAGCACAGACTGGGTTGCCAGGCTTTCCACAAAGTCTTGGAATCCTGTCTGCACCACTTCATATCTGGAGCAGACCCAAAACAACGATGCTCTCACATTTTTAATTTGTATTGTTTTAAGGTCCATGAGAGATGATGGCCTTTTTTGTATTTTTTGCTTTATAATTCACTCAGTATTTTCAGTGGGTGCCTGATCTGGACTGCAGACAAGCCAGATTAGCACTAGGACTTTTTTCACTGAGACATGCTGTAGTGTTTCTGGATCTTGTTTATACCTTTTTTTTCTTTGCATTGTAAAGTTTTACAAGGTTTTTCTATAGAAACACATCTGTGTTTAATGCAGTGCTGCCCGAGGGCTTGAAGATGAGTGCCATTCGATACTGTTTTGGGGCCTCATCTCGATTGGATTCATTTAACAATATTATGTACTGAAGATATGAAATTCTCATGTCTCTACCTGGATGGTATTATTATTATTAAGATAGACTGCAGAAGCCTCAACTTTTGTTTCTTTGTCTCTTTATTTAGGCAGGGAACCGTGCAACATGAGCTTTATGGAAACTTAAACGGACTGTATTAGTTTTGTTAGGAAAAGTTCTGTTTACTTCAGCCCTGTGGTTGTATGTCTGTATGTGGTTGTAGGCCTCAGTAACTGTTCGAATAGACATTTTACACATAAACTATTCATTAATAAAACCACAAAACTAAGAGTAAAGATAGCTGGATTTGATTTTTGGTCTTCTGTATACTGGCACACTGTGACACTGTCATAACTGACTGGGATAAATGAATGATACAAAGCCATTATTAGTCTGTGGAGTGAAATATGCTATTATAGTATCAGAATGTATTGGTGCTATTGTCATTTGCATTAAAGCATCAGTATTATGACCCCCCCTTTACTATTATATGGAGTCATCTGTAATCCCTTGATCCCTTTCTATGATGCAGCTTCTCTTGGTTGCCATTATAATTATGTATAATTTTTCTGTTAGGTAAGGCATTGAGCTAATGGGAAACGCTGATTGTAAAATATAACAAAACTCTCTATTCCTGTGGAAAATGCCATCAATTTTAGTCCTAGAAACTTCAGTCTCAGTTTTAGCTCACAGCTTGTCATGCACTGGTCCTGATCACTTGAAGTGTAATAATGCAATTAATTCTCTATAATCGCCTAAATTTTGTTTTTACTCATTTCTACTTAAGTAATTCTATATTTTTTATGTCTATCATATTATGTATGACATTAGTTCCTGTTTAATCACTTATTTGACTCCTTAATTCAGGCACTGTGCATTCATGTGACATTTGGTTGCATCATGTGTTTTTGTTAAAGTTTGTTTATTAACACCTTTGCCTTAAATTCACTTGAGGTTTAATGGGACATCAGACACACAAGGTCTACAAGGAGTAAACTTGTCCCTCTGGCACACAACACACCCAACAACTTTCACGTGTGTTTTTCTTTGTTGGAGCCGATGAGGAAACAATGACTTGTGTCTCATACATAAAGGGAAAAATACAGTTCATGTACTTCTAATACTCTCCTAGTACTAACTTCTATAATATGTCTAAAGGTGTATC